TTTTCTGGGCAAAGTTAAAAAATGTTCGCACGACCATGAAACAACAAAATATTGCCGAATATTTTTCTTCACAAGTCCAGTACCACAAAAATATCCATTGTTGTCCATTGACTCATTGTTGCTACGGTTCCCGTAAGATACATGTGGCGCACACCACGAAAATGAGGGGTAAGTCACCACGAAAACGCTCTCTTCACCAAGGAAAAGAGAGCAAATTTTGAAAAACCACGAATTGAAAGCGAATAATATCGGTAATTTTTGTGCGCTTAATGGAGTTTGACAATCATTTTGAAAGGAACTTTGATATACCATAACAAATAAATTGGAACTTGATTAAGTATAATCAAATTTTTGAAAAACCACCACGGTGTGCCCATGAACGAATAAAGTGACCAAGTCGAAAAATATCATTATATACCAGGAAGTTGTTCAAAAAGATCAGTATATACCACGATAAAATAAACTACTTTTTACTCAATTTTGGCATCAAAAAATTCCATAAAGTATTTAAAATACAATAAACGCTCACGTTGGCCGAGTGTAACCCTCAGAAATATATTGAAATATACCTATCATTTTAAAAATATACAGTAAATATACCGAAGAAAAAGGGACTTAGCCCACTTAAGCCCCCTCTATATAAACAGTAAAAACCTTTCGTTGAAATAGCTTTAAAACAAAGACTGAGTAGTTTCTGCACTAACTGGAGCCTGAGAATATAAACATTACCTCCATTCTCTGCACTGATTCTCTGGCCATAAAAAACATAATAAGCACAGACACATCAATAACAAAAATAAGGGACATCGTAATAGCGAATCCAAACAAAATAAAGATAATGTGGGTACCGGACATACTGGTATAAAGGGAAGTGAGCTTGCAGATGAAGCAGCCACCAAAGCACCATTAATTCTAAGGAACACCACAAATTAAAAGGACATCTCCAAACTCATAAAGCCTCGCACTCAGATCCAAAAACTGTTTGCTCGCAAACAAATGTCGTATAATCTTCTAGCAGCCTGTTTTGTGACCAGAGGTGTGCACTGCATTCCGTACGGTTACACTGCTCAGACAGCTGAGTTTTGTTTTGTTTAAAGTTAATAAAATGCACTTCATCGGCTGGGGTCGCTCTTCCCCAGGCATATCCTGGGCTCCTTAATATTTTATTGGCAAGGTAATGTGTCTGACTATCAGCAGCAGTAGATGGCGACGCCTCCCGTGCCGGACACCGTGAAGAGGAAATGTTTTGAAAACAAAATATGTTTTATATTTATGAAAATTAATTAAAAATAATAAATTATAATATCCATATAATTGTCATTCATATAATGCTGCATTAATTAGATTCTATTTGTCTTCATTATTGAAATATTTCATTTGGTTTTTTGTTCTCATATTGCAATGTTTGCTTCGTGTTTGCTGGCAAAATATATCAAATAGATATAACTTTCGAGGGAGGTCGAAACATACCAGCATATAAGCAAATACTTAGGATACTTTTCCAGTATATACCGACCTTTTTTTTTTTGATCTGAGTACTGCCACTAACCATACAGTATATACATAGATGTGCCAGTTTATACACCGAACGTGTCGCAGCTGAGTTTTCTGTCCCAGGTCCCCAGGTCTTCGGCTGCTGGACCTGAGACGTTCGGCATTTTTTCGACATGTTCGATTCATGACGAGATATGAAAACAAGAATTGCAAATGTATGTGTGCACACAGGCACGACAAAATATTTATCAATTCTTATTTTCCGAAAGCGTTTTGAGTTTCGTTTCCAAGTTACGTAAATGTGTGTGTGCCATGAATTTCGGTTTTTAATACCCGTACTCAAAAAAGAGCTAAGGGGTATATTGTATTTGTGGTAAAAGTGGATGTGTGCAACGCAGAGAAGGAAACGTTTCCGACCCCATAAAGTATATATGTACATATATTCTTGATCAGCATCAATAGCCGAGTCGATATAGCCATGTCCGTCTGTCCGTCTTGATGAGCGCCTAGATCTCAGAGACTATAAAAGCTAGAGAAACCAAATTTGGTTCTATAATTCTATAATTATGATCAGATCTGATTCAGATTCAACAGATTTTAGTTTTAGCGTATCTTTAAAATTGTGGTTGCCACAGATTTTCGAAATACACTTGTAGCAGTGTGATATCACATTAGTCTGGAAACAAAATTTGGTTCCTCTAGCTCTTATAGTCTCTGAGATCCAGGCGTCAAACAAGACGGACAGACAGACAGACAGACATGGCTCTATCGACTCGGCTATTGATGCTGATCAAGAATATGTATACTTTATGGGGTCGGAAACATTTCCATCTCTGCGTTGCACACATCTTTTACCACTTTTACCACAAATACAATATACCCTTTAACTCTTTTTGAGTACGGGTATAATAATTATCTTGTTGATCTTGAATATGTATTAAAATATTTTGATACCGAATAAAATAAAGATATACGGTCCAATCATTATGATAGTATAAATAAAACATAATTTAAGAAAATTACAATTCAAAATGTAATTCCTTTTTTTAGCTTCTCTCTTTTTTTTATGTAATCCAGCTTCATTTAACGCGAAAATATTGGCAGCACTGAAGTGATCTCCGAAATGGATGGTGGATGGTCGTCAATGTGAAAAAGGCTATACAAGTTTTTACCGCCTAGAAGAAACAGGGTGGTTTATTAGCGGTTCCATACTGTTTTTGCAAGATTAGATCTTTATCGGATTTGAGTACTAAGCTTTAAGTACCAGGCCTTTGAGAGGAAGTTGAACGAGTATAAAAATAAAAATACCGTTTAATAGCCTTTTTACACTGCCGTATCATTGTCGAAGGTGCGGAAAAATTACACCAAAGCCGCCACTTTTCTCGCATACTTTTTCAGCTTTGCTGTAATTGTTTGATGCGACAAAAACAGCTGTTTGCTATCGATACCCGTCGATACCCCGAATAATTGAGGTGTTTTATAAAAATACTAGACAGAATACGGCAACATTGGCCAATGATGCCGCATCATTGTCTTCTTTTATCCACAGGGCTCTTATGGTCATCATTGTCGCACATTCCATATAACGGAATAATCCAATGATGTTGCCCAGTGCAAAAAGACTATAAGATACTATATTTGATACTATAAAAAAAACATAAAAATACAATCATACAAATTATTTTCGAGTTACTTTTGAAAACGGAAAGAACGACGCTTCCGCATTTGCAAAACTCAGCCCGATTTTGTTATCGATAAATCTCTGTTACACATAACATAGGCCTTTTTATTTGAGTTGGTACTAACGCGTGCGTATAACAGCAGTACATTTTTCTCTTAACAGTACAGGAGGATGTAAATTAAACTTTTACGAATGTCTGAGCGCCTTGATATAAAAAGAATGACTTTTGGCAGAAAACGTAAAGCGCAAAAGTAATTGAAAGCCCGAAGCCTGCCTGAATAATCATTTAATTACATATATTTGAAATCATTAAGGCTTTTGTTGTGAAATCGTTCAGTGTACTTAAGGCTTAAGTAATTTACGCATTATTCAACACTTTTTCCATCATTTCCGTCTTTTGACAACCGCAATCAAACGTGATTCGGCCTTTTCCGGTTTATTCGTTGAACATGGCAGTCGGCAAAAATAAAGGTCTTTCCAAGGGAGGAAAAAAGGGTGGTAAGAAGAAGGTAGTAGACCCCTTCTCACGCAAGGATTGGTACGATGTCAAAGCACCGAACATGTTTCAAACCCGTCAAATCGGTAAAACGCTTGTCAACCGCACCCAGGGTCAAAGAATCGCTTCCGACTACTTGAAGGGCCGCGTGTTTGAAGTGTCTTTAGCTGATCTGCAGAAAGACATCGATCCTGAGCGTTCGTTTCGTAAGTTCCGTCTTATTGCTGAAGACGTACAGGACCGCAACGTTCTGTGCAACTTCCATGGCATGGATTTGACTACCGATAAGTACAGGTGAGTGAATTAGCATGTCAGTATGAATGCGCCACAAGCATCCTATTCATAAATATGTATGTATGTACATATGTATGTCTGCACACCTTAGCTGAAAAGTTGTTGTCTATATGTAACGTAGCTTGTAGCTAATAGCTTGTAGCGATAATTTACACAAATGTACTTTTTTTTTTTTGGCTAGGTCCATGGTGAAGAAGTGGCAAACACTTATTGAGGCCATAGTTGAGGCAAAAACTGTTGATGGATATCTGTTGCGTGTTTTCTGCATTGGATTTACTGCAAAGGACCAGCAGTCTCAGCGCAAAACTTGCTATGCGCAACAGTCTCAGGTCCGTAAGATTAGGGCTCGTATGACTGACATCATAACTAATGAAGTCAGCGGTGCTGATCTGAAGCAGCTAGTTAACAAATTAGCTCTGGACTCAATTGCGAAAGATATTGAAAAGAGCTGTCAACGTATCTATCCATTACATGATGTTTACATCCGTAAAGTTAAGGTGTTGAAGAAGCCTCGTTTTGACGTATCAAAACTTTTGGAGTTGCATGGCGATGGTGGCGGAAAATCTACAGAAGCCGTCGTGTCTGCTGAAGGCGCCGTGGTCGACCGTCCTGAAGGTTACGAACCCCCCGTACAGGAAGCAGTCTAAGCTGGATATGCATATTGTATATTGTATTGCATTCACAGAGCATATATAATATATAACTCTACGCTTTGTAGAAAATAATTTTTGTGCGTTCTCTTCTTGGGTCCCGGGGTCTATTTCCATTTTAGGAACCATTGAAAATCGACAATTTGGTTATACATATATAGAGTATGTATATAAAGTATGGTATGTAATCTCATGGTGTAAAAAATATAACTTATTATTTTTCTCTCTTAGATTTCATGATACTTGAGGGGCACTAAAATTACACAACTTTTACAGCCGCATTCGCTAACAGGTATATTAAAAATTGCAGATATAAAATTCGTTTTGCAAAATGATGTTTTATTTTTCGTCTCTGTCAGTTTACTGATGAAAATTATTGGCTGATTGCACAAATACAAACAAAGATTACTGAATAACACATTTAATATTTACTTTTTAACTTATCTAAATTTTCTATCTTTGCAGACATTTAAGACTCAAAAATGTTAATACTCACAATGATCAGATCCAAGTGGTCCACTAAATGGTAAATGTAAAACGATCCATACTCGTTTGAATATTACACATTCCATATGTTTCAGGACTTGCTGTGATGATTTTCCTTGGATAGAAGCTAAATTTAAAATAGTGTTATGGTAAGTTAATGCTAAGCCGCTAGATTACTAGCCTTACTTATTGGTGTGGTCATGGTTGCATTTTTTTTATTCATATGTATTACTAGTTTAATAATAGTTTAAAATGCAGTTCCTATGAGAGTCCAGTATTTTTTTTTCCATATCCCCGTGATTTTTGCACCGATTTAAGGCACATTCGGTTCCAAAATGCAAAACAATTGTAAATTTTTGTAAACTAATGCACAATTTTACACAACTACGCACTTGTATATAATTCTAACAAACAACGGAACAATATTGAGTAGTAAAGTTATTGCTAAATTACCTTTATTTATATTAAACTAGGAAAAATGAAAAATGCACATATAAGATTACATCCAGTTAATTTTATTTTCACACCTAGTCGAAATTTGTTATTATTTTTTGCTTGAATTGCGTAACATTGCACTACAAATAAAACTTCGTACTCAAAATTTTGATCAATTTTGTACTTTTCTAATTTAAAAAGAATGTGCTGCATATTATAATATTTTTTATGACGTATGCTTTAACCAATGGCTTTAATATTTTGATTATATTTGTTATCCCATTTAGTGCCTAAATAAGTGTTCCATGCCGAAGTCGTTTACTACCTAAATGTTGGTTTTGTGTTAGGTAAGATAATTATTTTATTTTTATACTCTTAAAACTCTTAAAATATAAGTATATATACGTATGATGAAACAATTACCCAGCTCGCTTCGATATTCCATGAAGAGAACTGTTCCAAATCCAACCAAATTAAACTGCTGATTTAATGCTTTCACAAATGAATTTTTCGTTCAATATTTATTTTGTTTGATTAATAACACAATACTGTTTTGTTTCCAGAAAGATGGTGGACAATAAATAGATGAGTCTACCATATCTTGAGAAAGTCCCTCTGCTCAACTCAGGTGTATTGAATTTAACGGAATTTTAAAGAGGTGTGTATTCTTGAGCATTGTAATATATCTGCTTCTGATTACCCTGGATAAAAAACGTCTGAAAGTTCATTGATAGTATGATGATTTGTTAACGGATTCCCCATCATTTATTTAATAAATGAAAAATTCCATTCACTGAAATTTTAGCAGAATAAATATATTTTTGTTGATTTACTTGATTTATAATATTTAGTTTTATCCGTTTGCAGAAAGATTGAAGATAAGACACATTGTAGTAGTCGTATCATGAACGTATCTCACGGCCGAAGTCATTTACCATTTGCAGTGTGGTATTTTTTTTTTTTGCATGTAAGTTTTTTATTTTCTTTCATACTCCCACAATTTCTAAAATATAAGTATATGATGAAACAATTACCCAGCTCGCTTCGATATTCCATGAAGAGAACTGTTCCAAATCCAACCAAATTAAACTGCTGATTTAAATCTTTCACAAATGAATTTTTCGTTCAATATTTACTTTGTTTGATTAATAACACAATAATGTTTTGTTTCCAGAAAGATGGTGGACAATAATAAATAGATGAGTCTACCATATTTTGAGAAAGTCCCTCTGCTCAACTTTGTATTGAATTCAACGGAATTTTAAAGAGGTGTGTATGCCTGAGCATTCTAATATATCTGCTTCTGATTACCCTGAATAAAAAACGTCTGAAAGTTCATTGATACCACCCCATCATTTATTTAATAAATGAAAAATTCCATTCACTGAAATTTTAGCAGAATAAATATATTTTTGTTGATTTACTTGATTTATAATATTTAGTTTTATCCGTTTGCAGAAAGATTGAAGAATAACAAACATTGCTTGTATTTTACCTGGGATTAAAACTTCACGCGAGTCCTACCGCAGGTGGGTACGCTAGATGATAGCAAAAAATTAAATTTCAGAAATGACGTAGTTTTTTATTTGCTATTCTTGAATAAGATGATGAAAATTTTCACCTAAGTAGCTGATCTGGAATTAAATAAAAAAGAGTTCTCTAACACACTTTAACCAATGGCTTTAATATTTTAATTAAATTTGTTCTCCCATTTAGAACCAAAACAAGTGTCCCATGGCCGAAGTCATTTACCATTTGCAGTGTGGTATTTTTTTTTTTTGCATGTAAGTTTTTTATTTTCTTTCATACTCCCACAATTTCTAAAATATAAGTATATATACGTATGATGAAACAATTACCCAGCTCGCTTCGATATTCCATGAAGAGAACTGTTCCAAATCCAACCAAATTAAACTGCTGATTTAATGCTTTCACAAATGAATTTTTCGTTCAATATTTATTTTGTTTGATTAATAACACAATAATGTTTTGTTTCCAGAAAGATGGTGGACAATAATAAATAGATGAGTCTAGCATATCTTGAGAAAGTCCCTCTGCTCAACTCAGATGTATTGAATTCAACGGAATTTTAAAGAGGTGTGTATTGCTGAGCATTGTAATATATCTGCTTCTGATTACCCTGGATAAAAAACGTCTGAAAGTTCATTGATAGTATGATGATTTGTTAACGGATTCCCCATCATTTATTTAATAAATGAAAAATTCCATTTACTGAAATTTTAGCAGAATAAATATATTTTTGTTGATTTACTTGATTTATAATATTTAGTTTTATCCGTTTGCAGAAAGATTGAAGAATAACAAACATTGCTTGTATTTTACCTGGGATCAAAACTTCACGCGAGTCCTACCGCAGGTGGGTACGCTAGATGATAGCAAAAAATAAAATTTCAGAAATGATGTAGTTTTTTATTTGCTACTCTTGAATAAGATGATGAAAATTTTCACCTAAGTAGCTGATCTGGAATTAAATAAAAAAGAGTTCTCTAACACACTTTAACCAATGGCTTTAATATTTTAATTAAATTTGTTCTCCCATTTAGAACCAAAACAAGTGTCCCATGGCCGAAGTCATTTACCATTTGCAGTGTGGTATTTTTTTTTTGCATGTAAGTTTTTTATTTTCTTTCATACTCCCACAATTTCTAAAATATAAGTATATGATGAAACAATTACCCAGCTCGCTTCGATATTCCATGAAGAGAACTGTTCCAAATCCAACCAAATTAAACTGCTGATTTAAATCTTTTACAAATGAATTTTTCGTTCAATATTTACTTTGTTTGATTAATAACACAATAATGTTTTGTTTCCAGAAAGATGGTGGACAATAATAAATAGATGAGTCTAGCATATCTTGAGAAAGTCCCTCTGCTCAACTCAGATGTATTGAATTCAACGGAATTTTAAAGAGGTGTGTATTGCTGAGCATTGTAATATATCTGCTTCTGATTACCCTGGATAAAAAACGTCTGAAAGTTCATTGATAGTATGATGATTTGTTAACGGATTCCCCATCATTTATTTAATAAATGAAAAATTCCATTTACTGAAATTTTAGCAGAAGAAATATATTTTTGTTGATTTACTTGATTTATAATATTTAGTTTTATCCGTTTGCAGAAAGATTGAAGAATAACAAACATTGCTTGTATTTTACCTGGGATCAAAACTTCACGCGAGTCCTACCGCAGGTGGGTACGCTAGATGATAGCAAAAAATAAAATTTCAGAAATGATGTAGTTTTTTATTTGCTACTCTTGAATAAGATGATGAAAATTTTCACCTAAGTAGCTGATCTGGAATTAAATAAAAAAGAGTTCTCTAACACACTTTAACCAATGGCTTTAATATTTTAATTAAATTTGTTCTCCCATTTAGAACCAAAACAAGTGTCCCATGGCCGAAGTCATTTACCATTTGCAGTGTGGTATTTTTTTTTTGCATGTAAGTTTTTTATTTTCTTTCATACTCCCACAATTTCTAAAATATAAGTATATGATGAAACAATTACCCAGCTCGCTTCGATATTCCATGAAGAGAACTGTTCCAAATCCAACCAAATTAAACTGCTGATTTAAATCTTTTACAAATGAATTTTTCGTTCAATATTTACTTTGTTTGATTAATAACACAATAATGTTTTGTTTCCAGAAAGATGGTGGACAATAATAAATAGATGAGTCTACCATATCTTGAGAAAGTCCCTCTGCTCAACTCAGGTGTATTGAATTTAACGGAATTTTAAAGAGGTGTGTATTCTTGAGCATTGTAATATATCTGCTTCTGATTACCTTGGATAAAAAAAAGTCTGAAAGTTCATTGATAGTATGATGATTTGTTAACGGATTCCCCATCATTTATTTAATAAATGAAAAATTCCATTCACTGAAATTTTAGCAGAATAAATATATTTTTGTTGATTTACTTGATTTATAATATTTAGTTTTATCCGTTTGCAGAAAGATTGAAGATAAGACACATTGTAGTAGTCGTATCATGAACGTATCTCACGGCCGAAGTCATTTACCATTTGCAGTGTGGTATTTTTTTTTTTTGCATGTAAGTTTTTTATTTTCTTTCATACTCCCACAATTTCTAAAATATAAGTATATGATGAAACAATTACCCAGCTCGCTTCGATGTTCCATGAAGAGAACTGTTCCAAATCCAACCAAATTAAACTGCTGATTTAAATCTTTCACAAATGAATTTTTCGTTCAATATTTACTTTGTTTGATTAATAACACAATAATGTTTTGTTTCCAGAAAGATGGTGGACAATAATAAATAGATGAGTCTACCATATTTTGAGAAAGTCCCTCTGCTCAACTTTGTATTGAATTCAACGGAATTTTAAAGAGGTGTGTATGCCTGAGCATTGTAATATATCTGCTTCGGATTACCCTGGATAAAAAACGTCTGAAAGTTCATTGATAGTATGATAATTTGTTAACGGATTCCCCATCATTTATTTAATAAATGAAAAATTCCATTTACTGAAATTTTAGCAGAATAAATATATTTTTGTTGATTTACTTGATTTATAATATTTAGTTTTATCCGTTTGCAGAAAGATTGAAGATAAGACACATTGTAGAAGTCGTATCATGAATGAGTGTCTCACGGCCGAAGTCATTTACCATTTGCAGTGTGGTATTTTTTTGTTTTGCATGTAAGTTTTTTATTTTCTTTCATACTCCCACAATTTCTAAAATATAAGTATATGATGAAACAATTACCCAGCTCGCTTCGATATTCCATGAAGAGAACTGTTCCAAATCCAACCAAATTAAACTGCTGATTTAATGCTTTCACAAATGAATTTTTCGTTCAATATTTACTTTGTTTGATTAATAACACAATAAGGTTTTGTTTCCAGAAAGATGGTGGACAATAATAAATAGATGAGTCTACCATATTTTGAGAAAGTCCCTCTGCTCAACTTTGTATTGAATTCAACGGAATTTTAAAGAGGTGTGTATGCTTGAGCTTTGTAATATATCCGATTTTGATCACCAATAATTTATTTAATAAATGAAAAATTTCATTCACTGAAATTTTAGCAAAATAAATATATATTTTGTTTATTTACTTGATGTATTTTCAGAAAGATGGTGGAAAATAATAAATCTACCATATTTTGAGAATGTCCCTCTTCTCAACTCAGATCTCATGAATTCAACGGAATGTTGAGGTTTGTATGCTATGCGTGTTGTATGATAGCAACCACTTATAACACTACTCGACAAAATTCAACTTTTTTTTCCTCAAGGAGCCAAACCGACTTTTTCTGATAGATTTGGGGTTTAAAATTTTTGTTGGCAGGACTTTTATTTGGTAAAAAAAAATTATATATTTTGTATATGCTTGTTTCAAAGATAGCGCTTATATTTTTCACGTAGTTTAAGTACCTTAAATCTCGTTTTGATGAATTCTTTGTAGCCTTAGGCTTTCATATGCAAAGTTTATAATTTTTGTTTTTTTTTTCTCTCAGATTTTTGACTTAGAACTCTGGACAAGTTTAAAAAAAATTGTATAGTGTGTCTCTTATATATTTTGTGTATAGGTGCATAATTAGCCGTCGCTTTAAGTATTGTTCATACAAAAACGGAGAAATGGCCAAGCTTAAATTTATCGTTTGGAACGTTGATGGCGCAACTTTTTGGGCCTTTTCAAAAGGCACAAGAAAATTGTACCAGCTTTTTGTCACAGGATTTTTGATTCGTGGTGACATAATAGATATATCTGAAGATAAAGCATCTCAAAGTTGAGGTTTTCTAATGTTTCTTCATATTTAGCATTTTTTGTACCCGTACTTGAAGTTAAGAGTTAAGGGCTATATTAGAGTTGTGGTAAAAGTGGATATGTTTAACGCAGAGAAGTAATCGTTACCGACCTCATAAAGTATATATATTCTTGATCAGCATTAATAACCGAGTCCATATAGCCATGTTTTATTTTATTAGTTGATTTGTTTAGTTTAGTTTAGTTTTGATTAGTTGACCAAAAAAAAAAAAACCGAAAAATAATAATAAATTTTGTTCGGTACTTCATTAACTTTGGGCTGTGCGAAATAATAGGGACACAATTTGGTTCGTCGAGGAAATCAAAAGTTATGAATTTTGTATTTTTTACTCTTGAAAATAATAAGGAAAACTTGCACCTTTGTTACTGATATGTAATTAAATTATAAACAATGCGTAATAGTTGCTTACATTGAGCCAATAGCGGAAAAGGCAGATTGTTGAACAAATAAATAAAATTGAAAAAATGTATACATGCCTTATTATTTTTGGTTACATTTGGCCTGCATTTCGTTGAAAAATGATTATTTGGTAACGTGCGGCGTCATATTGTTAAGTTATGATAGTTTGAAAAATAATCTACAATTTACCATGTCAATGGAAATTTTAAAACTGTAGGGATGTTTATCATATTATTAGCATTTATGTAGTACATATTATGTACAATAGTCTGTGCCAAAATCGGACACACCCCTTATTCTGTTCTTAGTTAGCAAATAGCCTAATTTTTTTTTCTTGAAATTTTAGTGTAATTTTTATGGGGCTACCACGGAAAGAAAATTATATTTTTTGTTTTGGTTAAAGCCTAGTACTTAGATTCGAAAATTATATTTTTTGTTTTGGTTAAAGCCTAGTACTTAGATTCGAAAAAACAGCTCGCAAACAGAATCAGGGTTGTTATGTTAATTGTTTTAAACTTTTTTTTTTCGCGAAAAAAACGAGAAGAAACGTGTTAGTCGCTATCGGGGACGCGGTACTCAGTACTCAGCCAGTAAATACATTTTTTAGAATTAAAAAAATTATTAGGAGGTATTAACCCGTATCAGACCAAATAAATCTTTCAACTAATCACGGTTGAAAGTAAATTAATATAAAAAAAGCAAAAAAATTATTTACATTTTACATATCTACATCTATGTATATTCTACATCTAACATGTAGATTATAGATGTACCATGTATATTTATACATCTCCTCCGCAAGAGGGCGCTCGCGTACATAACGAGGCAGAGTGTGCGAGCGAGAAAGAGAATGAGTAGTGGGTCTCTTGCTGTAGGAGGCGGGGGAAGCAACTGAAAATTAATCTCTTCATTCTGGCTATAATTATGATCCGATCGTATAAAAAATCATTAAATTAGCTCAATACTTCAATACTACCTTTTTGTTGTAGTTGCGGTTGGCGAATCTTCTTTTTTTTCTATATATATAATAAATTTTTAAAATTTGTTAGCAATCTTAAAAATTGGTTTAAATAAAAATAAAAAACATAAATATTACTATATAACCCCTAACCCAAGATAAAACAAAATAAAGGGGTGTGCGTTAAAATGGAATAAAAAATTTTAACCTAATGTACCTGTACATATATACATATGTACATAAATGCAGCTAAGTATCAAAAATTTACGTTAAGAAACTATTTTGACCTAAAGTCGTAGGGGAGAGGGGCCGGTTGTTGACATAGTTTTGACCAATTGAATATTATTAAAACATATGTGTACCAATTAAAACCCTGCAGTACGGGTAAGCGATTTGTAAGCAACCACACATCGATGGCAACGTCATGCAGCTCGATGACATAAGCGATGACCTGCCATACGATGGGCTGTTTACTTTAACACAGGGATGTCCTAGGAGCATAATCGATGACATAGTAAGCGAGAATTAGCCGAAAGTCAGGCCTTAATAAGCGATGAATTTCCCTTAAAAAGTAAGGCCCTAATAAGTGATGTATTTAAGTAAAAAATTTTGATATTTTGATGAAAAAGGCATGGGTAAATTCTGTTTTAAAATATTAAATTTCTTTTATTTATTGTTTTCTTATAAAAATGTATGCATATTCACATTTTTGTGCAGTGTGTTCTTTTTTCCACAGAACCTTTTTAGTTTTTTTGATTTGCTCATGTTCGTAAGGCCGTCGTGGTCATTCCGGGCACTTCAACTGAATCGCCTTTAAAATAAGATGGGTTAATTAAAATATATTTCAATATGTTAACAATGCTCTCAGTAGATCAGCAGTGCATTTGCGCCAAAAACAAAACACCCGCTTAGATATGTACCTGTTCGACTCAAGACTCGTTTTTTTTCTGTTTTCGTTGTTGGAAATGAAAAATTTCGTATAAAAAGGGGTTTAATTTCGCAATATCACATTTTCTTCATTTTTTACAACGCACAATAGACTATTTTTAATTAAATGAAACACTGCACTTACCTGAAATAATTTTGCCCAAAATAAACAAAACCTGCGTCTCACTTTACACCGCACAATTCTAACAACGTTGTCGACGCCGACGGCAAAACCGAATTCTGTTACGGCACGAGTCGTAACAGAAAGAAACAAAGAAAAAAAAGAGTTTGGTCTGACCGACGCGTCGATCGCGACGTCGACGTCATATTCTACTCGTCTGTCGCAGCGGCAGAGAAAAAATCCTGAATGACGCGTAGTTGACATTTGTCATCGCTCACTTCTGGTACTGCAGGGAAGCTATAGAGATATTAGATAACTATCAGTGAAGTATCTAAATTGATTCCTTCATACAGAAAAATGCTAACAAGAATTTAGTGAAGTGGTGACCTGTTTTCGAGAAAAATAAGTGGACACTCGTGAAAAAGCCACTTAAAATTAAATAATATAAAAGGAAATCATCACAAACAACACTGCACGGAAAACGAAACAATAACATTTTTGGACAAAATTTACATACATTTTTCAGTCTTGTTTGTCGCCTAGAACTCAGAGACTATAAGAGCTAGGGAAACCAAATTTTGCTTCCAGACTCATGTGATATCACAATGCTACAAGTGTATTTCCAAATTTCGCCCTGCCCCCACAAAGGACGAAAATCTGTGGCAGCCCCAATTTTAAAGATACGATACACTAAAGATACACTAAATACGCAGTATTGTATAGAATGACCATATCTACCAGATTGCCGAATCTTAATCAGATCGGATCATTATTATAGCCAGTCTGGACGTTGATATTCAATGACTGCACCATCAAGTGGCCCATGCGACACCAAGCCGAAGAGCTGTTACGCGCGGAACTTAGGCAGAAACGCAGCCCCTCTTCCCGCCCAAGTGACCAAGGGGCGCTGCTACATGCCGCGCGACGCGTGTTACCGGACCGATCGCGAACATGCAAGAAAGATAGGGGTTAGACTAATATTCGAGGAAAATTAGAGTTAAACACACAACTAAAACATGCAAAGATAGCTATTTAAGAAGGGGAAGGGAATTAGTGGTGGATATTATAAGGTAGAGCTAATTTTAATCCAAGAATAAGACACTAAACGGTTCATGCAAGAAATAATTCAATCTATAATGTGTCAGGAATAAAGTTTCTAGTGGATCTAATGGGAATCGTAAAGTTTATGCGGCTCAACAAGTCAGGGCTACTTACGACACCCTTGATCAGGTTGTGCATAAAAACCACACCAATCATTTTTCTACGACTTACTGAGTTTGGAAGGTTTATTAAAAGCAATCTACGAGGGTAAGATTGCAGTCTCACACCTGCATCCCAGTTAAGGCCACGCCGAGCAAAAAGTTTTTCTGGACTGATTCTATACGAACGAACAAGCGAGATATAGAGAGTCTTCATTATATAGGTGTCGTCAAATTCCTTTGACCACCTCTTTATAAACCCAAGCACGCCCATGGCCTTATTTACCATGGTAGAAATGTGTTCAGAAATCTTTAACTTGGGGTCTAGTTTAACACCAAGATCATCAACCAAGGTAATTCTCTTAAGAAAACCACCGCAAGGCAGTTTAGGAGCCAAAAAGGGGCTGGAGCGATGAAATGTCATTACTTTGCATTTCGAGGCATTTAGGTGTAACATATTTGCACAATACCATGACTGAAAGTTATTGAGATCGGATTGCAAGCGAGAGTGAAATGAAATTTCCTTATACTGGACACAGAGTTTAAAATCATCCGCATACATGAATACTCGAGAGTTTGATAATACTGGCAGGTCATTAATAACGAGTGTGAAAAGTAGGGGGCCTAAATAGATGGCGCCCTGTGGTACTCCAGAAGTAACCTTAACAGGTGAAGAGGAGTTTTTGAAGGGGACTGTTTGAGACCTAGAACGAAGGTAGCTACAAATCTATCTCAAAAGATGAGGCGGAAACCATAAAAGGTCAAGTTTCGTGAATGAAGAAATTAATAATGAAGAATAAAGAAATAAATTTTTAGTTGCCTCCTCTGGCGCTGCTGACGCTACTCATTCCCGCTCGCACATACTCTGTCCTGGGCAGTGCGCGACCATTGCGGGGAAGATGTAGAATCTACATTGTGTATGTATAATCTACATTTTGTATGTAGACGTTAGATATAGATTGATATAGTTTAGATATAGACGTAGATGACAGATGTAGCAAAAAAAATTTAAAATATTTTAAAATTCTACATAAATCATAAGCTCACAATTTATATACTGATTGGTTATGGCTGAGCTATGTATAACTGGCGGTTTTCGTACTACTCCAGCCGAAACTCTGGATACAATGTTGCAAGTGCTTCCTGTAAATCTCATGGGGGAAAAAGGTTGCAACCTTTACATATATCTATCCGTGTACTATCTATCTATCTCACTTAGGGAGGACTGGGAGTGGGGCAAACCTGGACCAGCAAATGCGGTCAAATATAGACTAATGGCTCAAAGTTACGCGGCCGCGTGGGTTTTGGTTTCTCCTTTGATGAGCTTAATATAAATCACTGCTTCAGGACCCGCATCACTGTAGTGTGTTCCAAGTTTTGAGTCGTTTTGGTCAAACGGCTGCAAGTTGACCGTTTATCCATAGATTTTAATGAGAAATACCTTAAACGACGCCTAATTAATGCGTCTATCTAAAACCAAAAATTGTTGGCCAAGAATTTTTTTTTCGACTTTTCCCGAGTTTTTAAAGTTAAAATTTCGAAAAAAATAACGCAAAAAATTATGA